CACACCCTTTCAAGTGACCCATCTGTATACTTTTCTCTACCGAATTAACCACAAGCTCCTCAAGGGCAGGGAGTATGTCTTCTCTTTTAACCTCTGCTCACTTCAAATCAGCAAACATGTGATGTGATGTTTGTCTGGGTGTCCAGGCCTCTGCCCCCAGGAGATGGCTGATCAATATGGATTGACTAAAAGGACTCATTGATTAGTTTTCCATTCTGATTTTAGAGCCCAGACAAGCCTTGAGGCTCTGGGCTTCATTGACCCTTCACTTGCCCTTCATCTTGGCTGCTCACAAGCTCACACCCACCTCCCAGCCTCATGGTTCACATGCAAGGACACAGATGTTACTCCCACTAAAACCTTTCCCTTCACAATTCTTGATACCTAAAGGTGCTGCTGAAATATTGAAAAGTATTTTCCAGGGAGACGTGGCTATAGAAGAAGGGTTTCTATACCATATAGTTGACTCCCTGGGACAGACTGCTCCTTAAAATGCTTCCAGCTTTGATGAACAAACTCTGAGCCTCAGTTTCTTCATTTGTGAAACAGGGAGCATAAATCCACTCATAGGTTACTATGAAAACCCACTAATGCACTTAATGTGATCACTAAATGAATGGTAGCTATTATCTCCACTAATAAGAAAATTATCAACATCAAACCAGTAACTGTCAACTGTGACTATTTCAAATGCCTTCCCTCCAAAGGATTTGGAGTGTGCACATGTAATAGGGGTAAAGAGATGGGAGGACAGAGAATACCAGAGTAATGCCTTAAATTAAAGTGACATTGGAATGACCAAGCCACCACCATCTGTGGAGTCAGCTTCTCCAGCTAGACACCATCTCTAGAAAGCTAGTGCTTGGTCTCAGACCTACCCACCCAAGTTCCCGGAAACAGCCACTGTGGAGACCCCTGGAACTAGATGGCTTTGCCGGCAGTGGGTGTGCCAAGGAAGCGACACCCACAGTGTCAGCCTGAGCTTCCCTCAGGAACTGCTTCACATTCTGTCCCCCTCCTCCAGGCTTCATTCAGCCCTCAAGGTGCAGCTGTCTCCTGCTGCTCCCCTAACAGCAGCTGAGCCAAAGGCAGCTGAGCAGAGGAGGGTGAGGGACACGGCCATTTCTGCTTCTCAGGACAGCCTGCCTCTGGCTGAGCACCTGTCAGGGTGGCTCCTTGGTTACAGATTTACTTCCTCACCCGAGTATGCACCCTGGCCTGTGAAGCCAAGCTCCCTACTCTACCCAGGCCCACTGTTTCTGTTACTTGGAAAATCCACCATTTCAAACAGCACCAAACTACTCTGCAGAAAGATGTGATGTTGGAGATTGGTTCCAGTCACCACACAGCTTCTGAAAATACACCAAAAAGTCCACGATGGATGTGGCAGATTTTTCCCTATGTGGGATTATTCTGGGCAAAACAAAGAACTAAGAAGAGAGTCTGCCCTCAGCTCTGCTATCAAGTCTGAGAGAAAAGCATCGTATTTTCCTGCCCCCATTTTATAGGCAGAGGGAGTAACCTGCCCATGTATCACTGTGAAGCCAGGACATTGTCCCCTCACTCTGTGCTTCCAGGCAGACTGCACCACAGCTTGTACTAGGTGACCAACTGTCCTGGTCTGCCCAGGACTGAGGGGGTTCTTGAGACATGGGACTTTCAGTGCTAAAACCAGCAAAGTCCCAGGCAAACCCTGATGAGCTGGTCAACTTAGCCTGTCCCCAAATTAGCAAATTTTAGCCAGAGGTCACCAGCCTTCCATCCTGCTCTGGAATTGGCTGCCCATGGTAGCTGGAAATGAACAGAATGCCATCTGATGGGGTAAGATGCTTGCTTCCTAAGAAGCTGTGGAACAATGGTCAAACTGCTATAAAAATCCTCCCAAGGCCAGGCGTGGGGACTCATGCCTGTAATCTCAGCACTTTGGGAGGCTGAGGCAGGCAGATCACAAAGTCAGGAGTTTGAGACCAGCCTGACCAATTTGGTGAAACCCCGTCTCTACTAAAAATACAAAAACTAGCTGGGCGTGGTGGTGGGTGCCTGTAATCCCAGCTACTCAGGAGGCTGAGGCAGGAGAATCATTTGAACCCGGGAGGCATGGGTTGCAGTGAGCCGAGATCATGCCACTGCACTCCCAGCCTGGGCGACAGAGCGAGACTCCGTCTCAAAAAAAAAAAAAAGCCTCCCGAGATGCCTTGCCCCATTTTCAGCAGTTCTGCTCCATTCTTTCAACGATTCTCTTTCTTCTCAACTATGAACCTCTACCCGAAGCAAGAGAAATGCCAGGTACAGTGGCTGGTGCCCATAGTCCCAGCTGCTCAGGAGGCTGAGGCAGGAGAATCACTTGAGCCCAGGAGTTCAAGATTACAATGAGCTATGGATCGCACCACTGCACTCCAGCCTGGGCAACAGAGCACTTTAAAAAAAAGTGAGAGAGGGTTCCTTCCAGATAGCCCATGACCTAGGATTCTGTGAACATCCTCATGAATGTGGAAACTCCCTGAGTTCCTCAAAGGCTTTGGATTTCTCTTTGTAAAGGAAGCCAACCTGAGCAAAATGTTCCTGTGATTCAGAAGACAACAGGAGGCTGATCATCCTATCCCTCAGGGGTCACATGACATGTCATCCAAAAGACACTGAGGTCTGCCTTAAGTATCAGTGAGATGGCCTCCTCTGATTCCTGGCCTATTTTCCAGAGTTGGTTTCTTGCATAATTGATAGAGCAGAGAGTAAACCACCTTGCCCTATGACAGCCTGAGAAGTCACATTTAAGGATGAGCAGGTCAGATGCCTTGAGGAAACAGGATCTTGGGGCTAACACACCCTGTCCATCAAAGGCATTGCAGTCCCTCCCATCAGAACTGCTTTATTTTCAGGAACTCCCCAGGGCTATGTGAGAAGACAGCCCCCAGTGACCCATTAGGGCACCCTCAGGACCTTCCTGTTGAGCTTTTGCTAGTTCTGATCCCAAAAAAACCCCATCAGGAATGCTTCCCTCAGTCCAGCACAAACTCCTCTAGGGAGACTCCAGCCCCTAATGTCCCAATCCAAGGATGAGAAGCATCTGTCCACCCCATTCCTTAGACAAAAGGGCCTTGAAGGGCCATTTGGGAAGGGACTGACACTTAGGAGAAAGAGATGGGCTGAATCAGGTGCCATCCCCAGCTGTTCACCCAGAGAAGCTTGTGAAGCTCAACAACAAACATGATGCCTTCCACAAGTCAGGCATCGTGGCCAGGCCACCAGAGAATCCCAGCCAGGAATGGAATCTGGAACAGACTCTATGGTCAACCATTCCCAGATTAGAGGAATCAGAGGCCTTGGACACCAGCACCACAGCATCTCCATCCTGAGTCTGCATGGGGCCATGCTGGCTGGGGGACAGGCTGGGGAGAGCCTAGCTCTCTCATGCATTAGAGAGCACCTGGCCCACCTCCATGCCATCCTACCTCCAGAATGTCAGAGAAGATCAGCAGCCCAGCTGCCTGGGAGCCTTCTCTTCTCGGCTTCTGGGGAGCAACTCTGTTGCTGAACAGGGCTGGAGAGCTGTAATTATTGAGACAGGATAAGAGCTATTTTAGGAAGGAGCCATCCTGTTGCCAAGGCTTTTGACTTACTAAACTAAAACATGATGCACAGAAAAAGGGGGTGAGGATGGGGGAGAACAGGGAGGAGCTTGCTCAGTCAAAAACATCAAATCTTGACTGAAGGAAAATATTAACCCCTTCCCAAAGGTACAGATTTGCATCTAGGGGTGAGCAAAAGGCTAGCTAAGACACCACCATCCCTTGGCTTTGGGAAGGAGGGCCTACCCATATCCCTGACCCCCTACCCATATCCCTGCGAACTCCCTCTCTCCTAAGACCCTCCAAGAGCACTTACTCAGTCTGTTCCATCTATTTTGACATTTCAGCACCAACTATTTCATATTGTTGTTTAAATGTTTCCTGTTTGTGTTTTATCTCCCCAACCATATCATGGCAAGTTTCTCAAGGCCAAGGAATGTGTGTGCTGTGAAACTTCAATGCTTCCCCTAAAAGTGCCTAGTAGAGTGCTAGGCATCTGAATAAAAATTGTTCATTGAAAGAAGGGAGGGAGGAACGAAGGAAGGAAGGGAGAAAGGGAGGGAGGGACTTACTGTCTTGCATGGAGATAATCTCTGAAAGTAGCCACTCCCACCTACAGCTGAGCTCAGGGTTGGATAAGAACCCATGGCAGTGGGAGGTGGCAGCCTTGTTTCTGGTCACCTCCCCTTCAGCTGTTCCATTATCTGAGCTTAGGCTGACCCCCACTATGCACTGGTTTGCTTTCTATCTGTGGCCAACTGTGCATCCTGAGTCAGCCCATGAATGGGACCCATTAGAGGCCATTGTTAGGCTTTGGGTAATAGAGAAATACGGCAAGAGAAAATAATGGAAGTAGGAAGAGCTTTGACCATCTTATCAAACATGGGCCAAGAATAGCCAAAGTACTTATGGGAACAATGCAGTGAAATCAGGACACTGCCAAAATGAGGACACAGGACTGCTGAGAGCAGAGTCCACCTTGAGTTTTTCCAAGTTGAGGACCCAAATAGTGTGTAACCCAAAAAAGCGACCCCTTTCTAGAATGCCCCAGGCTGAAAAGAGGAGAACCAGGTGGGGACTGATCCAACGGCTACCTAGACAGCCTTCCCACAGAGCACTTGGCAAGATTCATCATCTGCCAAAAGGTCTGTTCTTTCTAGGACTGCAACTAGCTCATACAGTGCTTTTGTGCAAATCCCCCTCTGGGGAGATGCAGCCCCACAGGTGCACAGCTTGGCAAATGGAACACAGGTTAGATTTCGGCCCCCCACTTACCCCCTCCACCCAGTGCTCTTGTGCAGTGAACAATCTGCTCAACCATAGGGAGCAGCTCTGTCTCCCTCCATGCCTTCTCCCATTACAGGACAGGAGATGGATTTGGATTGTAGGGTGGGCCCAGGAAGACTGGGAGTAACCTCCCAGGGGCATTCTTACCTCCTCATCTGTCATAACAGAGTAGAAGCCAGGCATTCCCAGGGGGCAGCAAATGGAATTCAGAGAGTGCCAATAGGAGGGGAAAAAGAGAAATTTACTAAAGACGCCCAGTGGACTTGGGCAAACCTGGCCCAATCCCTTCCAAGTGCAAGTGGCCCAAATAACAGCAGCTAGTATTTACTGAATGCTCACTGTTGCCAAGCACTGTGCTAAGTGTTTTTTCGGTAATAGCTTGTAATAATCCTCACAATAACCCTAAGAGGGAGCCATTATTCTCATTAACAGATGAGGAAACTGATGCTTGGAGAGGTAAAATAACTTACCCAAGGTCACAGTCAGAAAATAGTGGACCCAGGGCCCAAATCCTTAGATAACTCGAGTTCGTACTTTACTGTGCTGCTACTCTATAGAGCTTTGCTCCCTCTGAGGAGGACTGCCCTTCTCTGCTCTTTGCTGACCATCACTAGGAGGGCTCATGCTGGTTGGGATTGGACGGCATTCCCAGGGCTCTCTCCTCCCCAGGAACTGCTTTATCCATAGCCCTGCCCTCTGTCATGCTCATAGGGCTGGAGTATATTTTGGGCCAAAATGCTCACAGCAAGAGGTCCCTGCTGCCAAGATTTACTCCTTGAGGGCTGGTCCCCACCCTCCCCTGCCCCCAGAGAAGCCAAGAGTATAAAGGGAGCGGAGGGTCACAAGGTCTGGGGACACTTCTCTTAAGTATTCTAGAGCTGCAAGACACACTGACGGTCTCAAGGGGGAGGCCCAGACATCTCTGAAGATCCTGCCTGGGCAGCACCAATAAGTACCCCAGGTGGTAGAGTGGGGGCATGAGGAGGGTTCTGAGGAACCCGAGAAACACATGAGAAGAGTCCCCAGCCTGAATTAGGGTGAAGTCAACTCTGAGCAAGACTGTGAAGCAGGCGGTTTGCTTTGGTGTATTTTTTTTAAATCATGTGATAGGTGACCAACTAAGCTGAAAAGGCCATGAGGCTTAAATTATTCTCCATTCCAGAAGTAACTTCCTGTTAAAAGGAGACTCTTGAAAATGGAAAAGATCCCAAGCCCCCAAAGAAATGACTCTAACGGTGAAATTTTCAGCAAGATGAGAAGTTCCTCTGCTTCTTCAGGTCAAAATCCCAGCATTTACCTCCTAAACGACCCAACTCTGTAGATACATAGATGCCACTCCTCACCTGTCCTCCCATCCCCCAAGCTCCCACAGTGGACCCATAGGAGGGAAAAGCACAGACCTTTCAGCCACCAGATGACACGATTGTACATTTCCTCTGAGACATCTGAAAGTAACAGAGAGATGGTTGCTTTTCTTCTCTCTGTGGGATGCACATCCCACCCTCCACTACTTGCAGCTCCCTTTCTAGCTCCACATTTCTCCACCCAAAGGTGCCCTCAGCCCTTGGTCCTCTCCAAGAAGCTCCTCCAGCCTAGAACTATATATCATATACCCATTCTCCCTTTCCCTTTTTTACACCCTCTCTCTGTGCCACTGTGAATGCCTTTCCCCTCCTGGAATCCCAGCTCATCTGCACCCCACCCTCTCCACTTTGTAGTCAGAGTATTTACCTGAGGCCCTTATTCTATTTAACAGCCCTTACCGGCCCTCACCCCAGCTCAGTTCTTCATCCCCACTCAGGAAGCAGCTTTCAACCCTGCAAGCCCTCTCTACTACCTTCAATTGAAAAGGTAAGCAGTGTTGCCTGGAGGAGTCAATGCCTGTCGCCCGGCCCAAGCATCATCATCGATGTCATTAGCTTGGAGCACAGAGAAGCTGGCAGGGAAGGAATGGAGCAATAGGCTCAAGGATAGGACTAGCTTTGGCACTGGCAGGAGAGCAGCCCTTATTCCCAGAATGAAGAGGTGGTCTTTCCTGCCCACCCCAACATCCCATCTCACTAAATTGGGGCTGCACCTGGGCAGTCTGCTTCTTCACATACCCAGGAAGAAAGCACTAAACCTTTGAATGGGTTGTTTGCAGGTGTGCTTGGGGGTCTGTGGCACTTTATTCAGTGGTGCCCAACTTGGAAACTCCTTTGGTGGTGACGGTGGTGATAGGCTTGCCTTCTCTCTCTGGAACTTCAGATCCTCACAGAAAGGGCTAGAGTCTATTTTAAAACCGGACAATAAAGGATCTAGGGAAGGAGAACACTTAAGCTCAAAATCAGGTGTTGTCGGCTGGCTTTGGGGTGTTTCAACTTCAGGATTCAGCAAGGGCCACCATGAGGAGTCAGGTCCGTACCTAGGTAAGGACCGAGGAGGCAAGGGCCGAGGGGTCAGTTCCAGTTCTGCATGGATGGAGGGCTTTTGCGAGAGTTCTGGATACCTGGGTGTAGGTCCTTGGGACATGTAGGTAGTTTCTGGGGGTTTTGGGGTTTGCTGTTTATAGATGGGCTCTGGAGTGACAAACATGGATGACTTGTGGGAGCCCTCAGACACTGATTGAGCTGTCACACGGTGAGTTGGCTCTACTGACTGTACCCCTGGGGAGATGGTGACCCTGCGGCCAACCTCGTTGTTTCCTCGGATTGGGGCCCTCACATTGGACTCCACCTGTGATGATATTAAGACCTTTGCGGAGGGCTTGGTTTCAGGATAGACAGAATACTTGTGAAGAGACTCAGGGTCTACCCGTGTAGAAACTCGGTGTACACCATCAGAATCTTTAAGGACAGAGAGTTTGAGTGATGAGTCCAAGTTCATATTCCTATACAAGGCCTTGGGTTTTGAAGGAATTGAACTGTAAGGACCTGTTTCTGATTCTTCTACAGGTACCTTTCTCTGGGCTGTCTGATAGTCTGCAGAGACACAGCTGCTTCTGTGCTCTGGGCGAGAGGGACTCCTTGGAGATCTGATCTCGCTAGCAGTTGTAATCCTTTGGATGGGCTCAGTTTGTACTGCTTCATCCTTTGGGTAAGTCAAAATCCTACGGGGAACTCTGACTCCTTGGGGGTTCTGGACCTTGGATGGTGGGTCATCTTGTAAGATTTGTGATTGTAAGTTATCCTTCTGATCTTGAAAACTCAACCGACGAGTAGATTTGGCATCTGGGATTGATGAGGCATGATGGCCGACCTCGCGCCCTGACTTGCTCTCACCGCCTCTTCGTGCTGCTTCCTCTCCAGGTGGACTAACATTCCGTAGTCTGCTTGAAGCATGGGAAGCCAGTGTCTGAGTTTGCTGGTTCTTTCTAGGAGGAGAGGAATGGCGGGATGATTCTGTTCTTGGTCCAGTCTCGGTTACCCGAGGAGTGGGTACCACATAGTGTCCAGGCCCTGACTGGAGGGAGACAGATTGAGGATAGTCTGATGCCGAATGGGGAGTGGTGGGATGTGCAGCTTCTGATCTTCGGTGGGAAGGGTTCAGGGAGACTGCAGCACTTCGATGGCTTGAGGCAAGAATGTACCCATGTCCCCGCTGAGGGGATGTGTTAGTAGTAACCTCAGACCCTCTCTGTGCTGAAACTGCTACCTTGGCCCCAGGTTTATTTGTCTTGACCATCTGATAGATTGTGCCTTTCTGAGTAGATCCCATATTTTACTGGCTCGCTTGTATTCAGGATCCTAATGATGCCTGAATATTTACCCCGTTTTAAAGCTGCTGTTCTTGGGCTCCCACAAAAGTGGCTGTTGTTCTAAGAGTGTCTCAACTAGTCCCCTTAGCTACCTCTCTGTCTGGTGATGTCATAAAGGAGGGAGTTTCCTTCCTATTAAACATCCTAGTGTACAGTCACAATTCTTTACAGAATCCCAAAGAAGTACCTGAAAGGAATCTGTGGATTTCTCTTTGGAGTTATATCACCAAGCCTTTGGCAAGTTTTTAACAAAACTGGGATTTCCTTGTATATAGAGAAGGCTCCAGACCCTCCTTTACTCTCCCCAGATTCTAGAAATTCTCAGGGACTCATCCAGAGAAGGAATCAGCCAGAAGATCCTATGAAGACAAGGTCAAACCAAACACACTGTGTAAGCCCCAGTTTTAATAAGGTACAAAGTACAAAGTTGCCCCAATTTTGTTTGAAACTGTACTGTATACAAGTTAAAAAAAAAAAAAAGAAAAAAAAGAGAGCTTCAGCTTTTTCCAGGTCTCATGGATGGTTTCATTGCTCCTGGGGTAAAAATCCAGGTTGCTCAAATAATAAAATTCTCACATTCTTGGTCCAGGAGAGTTTGGTGTTTTATTAATAAAGGGATTTGCCAGGTGCAGTGGCTCACACCTGTAATCCCAACACTTTTGGGAGGCCGAGGTGGGTGGATCACCTGAGGTCATGAGTCTGAGATGGCCTGACCAACATAGTGAAACCCCATCTCTACTAAAAATACAAAATTAGCTGGGTGTTGTGGCGCATGCCTGTAATCCCAGCTACTTGGGAGGCTGAGGCAGGAGAATCGCTTGAACCCGGAAGGCGGAAGTTTCATTAAGTAAAGATTGCGCCATTGTACTCCAGCCCGGGCAATAAGAGCGAAACTCCATCTCAAATAAATAAACAATAAATAAATAAATAAATAAAAGTGATTTGGGGCCGGGCAATGTGGCTCACGCCTATAATACCAGCACTTTGGGAGACCGAGGCGGGTGGATTGCCTGAGGTCAGGAGTTTGAGGCCAGCCTGGCCAGCAAGGTGATACCCCGTCTTTACTAAAAATACAAAAAATTAGCCAGGCATGGTGGCAGGTGCCTGTAATCCCAGCTACTCGGGAGGCTGAGGCAGGAGAATCGCTTGAACCCGGGAGGTGGAGGTTGCAGTGAGTTGAGATTGCACTATTGCACTCCAGCCTGGGTGACAAGAGCAAAACTCCATCTCAAAAAAAATATATAAATAAAAAGAAAATAAAAGGGATTTGGGCTGGGTGCAGTGGCTCACGTTTGTAATCCCAGCACTTTGGGAGGCTGAGGTGGGCGGAGGTCAGGAGTTTGAGACCAGCCTGGCCAACATGGTGAAACCCTGACTCTACTAACAATACAAATATTAGCCCGGCGTGGTGGTACGTGCCTGTAATCCCAGCTACCCCCGAGGCTGAGGCAGGAGAATCGCTGGAACCTGGGAGATGGAGGCTGCAGTGAGCTGAGATTGTGCCACTGCACTCCAGCCTGGGCAACAGAGCAAGACTCCATCTCAAAAAAAAAAAAAGAGAAGGAAAGAAAGAAAGAAAGAGAAAGAAGGAAAAGAAAGAAAGAAAGAAAAAGAAAGAGAGAGAGAAAGAAAGAAAAAGAAAGAAAGGAAGGAAGGAAGGAAGGAAAGGAAAGAAAGAAGGAATTTGGAGTTAGTCATTGGTTTTCATCATAAATGACTAGTGATGTACCTAGGAGAAATTACCTGACTTTCATGGGACTTGGTTTCTTCACCTGGAAACCACTGCCTGGTACATGGGTGTCACACAACAAATGTTAATGTCCTTTCTCATGATTCTGTCACCTGTCCAATCAGCTGGACTCCGGTTCTCTCTTGAAGAGTGACTTTCCAATTTGGATGACCATTTTGGAGGAGACTCTGTCAACTTCTCTCCCTTTCACATGCTCTTTCTCTCGCTCTCTCTTTTAGACATAGACTCTGCCATATTCAATATTCTATTATGAACTCTGAAGGGTCATTGAGATTATAGGATGGTCAGCTTCATTTTTCTTATTTCTTTTTTTATTTTTCTTATGTCTTTTTTTGTTTGTTTCTTTATTTGAGATGGAGTTTCAAATAAACTCCGCCTAGGCTGTTGTCCAGGCTGGAGTGCAATGGCGCGATCTTGGCTCACTGCAACCTCTGCCTCCTGGGTTCAAGCAATTCTCCTGCCTCAGCCTCCCAAGTAGCTGGGATTACAGGCATGTGCCACCATACCTGGTTAATTTTGTATTTTTAGTAGAGACGAGGTTTCTCCATGTTGGTCAGGCTGGTCTCAAACTCCCGACTTCAGGCGATCTGCCTGCCTTGGCCTCCCAAAGTGTTGGGATTACAGGGATGAGCCTGTATCCTGTAATCTCGGCCCCAGCTTCATTTTTCTATGCTCTACACTGACCCATTCTCTTCTGTTAACAGTTTTTCCTCAAATGAGCTATAATAAAATTGATTAGGTTTAGCTATTAATTGTGATATTCTAGTCCTGCCTCCTGTTGATTTACGTTTTAAATATTTTATTTTTGTTTAGACAGAATCTTGCTCTGTTGCCCAGGCTATAGTGCAGTGACACGACCTTGGCTCACTGCAGCCTCCACCTCCTTGGGTTCAAGCAATTTTCATGCCTTAGCCTCCCAGGTAGCTGGGATTACAGGCACACACCACCATGCCTGGCTAATTTTTGTTATTTTTAGTAGAGATGGGATTTCGCCATGTTGGCCAAGCTAGTCTCAAACTCTTAACCTCAAGTGATCCACCCACCTCGGCCTCCCAAAGTGCTGGGATTACAGGTGTAAACCACTGCACTTGGCCTAAGTTATAAGTATTTCTTTTTCCTTTTTTTTTTTTTTTGAGATAGAGTCTCACTCTGTCGCCCAGGCTGGAGTGCAGTGGCACGATTCAGCTCACTGCAACCTCTGCCTCCTGGGTTCAAGCGATTCTCCTGCCTCAGCCTCCCAAGTAGCTGGGATTACAGGTGCGTACCACCACGCCTAGCTAATTTTCTTGTATTTTAGTAGAGATGGAGTTTCACCATGTTAGTCAGGCTCGTGTCAAACTCGTGACCTCAGATAATCCACCCACCTTGGCCTCCTAAAGTGCTGGGATTACAGGTGTGAGCCACAGTGCCCAGCCAGTTTTAAGTATTTCTAAACCCTTTCTATTCCCCAAAATGAAAACAGCTTTGGCTAGGTGCGGTGGCCCAGCCTGTAACCCCAACACTTTGGGAGGCTGAGGTGGGTGGATCACTTTAGCTCAAGAGTTCGAGACCAGCCTGGGCAACATGGTGAGCCCCCATCTCTATCAAATAAATAAATAAATAGTTTTAAAAATTAGACAGCTTTATAAATAATTATAAAAAGTTGAAATCACCTAAGAGGACCCCTTTACTATTTTAATAAGCATCTTTCCACATATCTTTCTATGCCTTTACAGTACATAGACATTTATTTATAAATTTACATAGTCCTATTATAAACTTCCCAGCATCCTAGTACTAGCATTATTCCATAACATGTTATGAATACCTTTCTGTCAATAAGTCTATATCTATGATGTAATTTCTAATTAACCTACTTACGGTTGTTCCAGAATGTTTTAAATGAGTCCTTTACTGCTGGACGTTAGGTTGTTTCTTTTTTTTCTTGCTATGGTGCCCAGGCTGGAGTGCAGTGTCTACTCACAGGCCTGAGCACAGCACACTAAAGCCTCAAAGCTTCTGAGCTCAAGTGATTCTCCTGCCTCAGCCTACTGAGTAGCCCACCTCATTTGGGTTGTTTCTAATTTTTCAATATTATAAACAACGTTGCAATAAACATACATTTCTATAAATATATATTTGTGTATAGTTCAATTTTCTCCTCAGGATAATAGCTCTAAATCCTGGCTGCACATTAGAATCACCTGGAGATCTTTCAAAGCCCATGCCTCCACCTCAGACAAAATGAATCAAATAATTTGGGGGTAAGGCTTGAGCATCGGTATTTTTTTAAAATGCCTCAGATGGTTCTAATGTGCAACCAGGGTATAAAGTTCTCTAAATCCTCTCTACTCAAAGTGTGGTCCATGGACCAGCGTCATCAGAACCACCTGGGAGCTTGTTAGACCTGCAGGAGCTTGGGCCCCACCTTGGACCTACTTAGTCAGAATTAGTAGTTTAACAAGACCCTCAGGTGATTCATATGTACAATAAAATCTATGTCATACTGGTCTAAATGGAGTTTCTGGGTCAAAAAATAATCACATTTAAAATACATACTGACAAATATCCTCCAGAGAGGTAGTACCAATTTATACCCAACATAGAGAATGAAGATGTCTGTTTCTCCATACTCTCAGCAACCTTAGATATTATCAATACTTGTCCTCCGCAGTGAGGTGAAAAACAACCGTGTTTTAATTTGCATTTCTTTGATTACAAGTTAAACTGAACATCTTTTAATATGCTAATTGACCATCTGTACAGCTTCTTTTGTGAATTGTTCTTTGTCTATTTTTCTATTAAGGTGTTTGTCTTTTTCTTACAGGTTATTAGAACTCTCTGTATATTAGGTATATAAACTTTTTGTTTATACAATATATTGCAATTATTTCCACCTGGTTTGTTGACTTTATCCTTGTTCAGGCATTGTTTGTAGTAAATAAGTTTTACATTCTTAATTCCCAAACTTTATGCTTTGGTATGTTTTTTGGACTATTCGGGATTTTTTGTTTTTTGAGACAGGATCTTGCTCTGTCACCCAGGCTGGAGTGTGATGGTGTGAACACAGCTCACTGTGGCCTCAACCTCCTGGGCTCAAATGATCCTCCCACCTCAGCCTCCTGAGTAGCTGGGACCACAGGTATGTGCCACTGCACCCAGCTAATTTTTAAATTTTTTGTAGAGATGTGGTCTCACTATGTTGCCCAGGCTAGAAACTTTCTATTATGTTCTATAATTCTTTCCATTCTTATGCCAATGCCATACTCTGTTTATTACAGCTTTATACTATACCTTAATATATGGTAGGACAAGTCCTTCCTCCTGACTTCTTTTACAGCATTGTTCCATCCATGCATTTATTAAAAGTCCTTTAAT